CATATATTTTTTTTTGTTTTTATATATATATATATATATATATATATATATATATATATATATATATATATATATATATATATATATATATATATATAATAAATAAAATCAATTTAATGTGGCACATTTTTGTCTTCTGTGTGGTGCAGTTCTTGGCAAAAATAAAAATAAGTCAAAATGGAGATCAGTATTGTCCAGAAATTGTGCAGTTGTAGCTAAAAACAAAGTGTTGCGGAAAGTGCCTCCACTGTATGTGATGCTTAGCTTAGTGAGTTGTGCGGGTGCAAGAGATGTGTGTGGCAGTCGTCCTCCGGTCTGAAGGGGGGCGCTGCATACAAAAAGAACCCCTGCATCCTGGAGGAGGGAGAGAGAGACGGTGAGTGTGAGGCGGAGTGAGTGTGTAGATGACGACCGGAGCAGCGGCTGTAAGAAAAGTCTGTGCAGCTTTCACCTGTTAGCTGGAGTTATTAAAAGTTAACCTCAACCATCTCCGTGCCACCGCGTGGTTCATGTTCAAGGCGTGCGAGGGAGTTAACCCCGAAGTAGAAACTTCGGCCCTGGAGAAACATCTCCCCTGTGTCTTCAGACCACGGTCAGCAGATTGAGCAGGAACGGTTAACAAAAGAAATTACTTGTGAAAAATGTCTGCACCTTGCTTTGGCTCATCGTAGTTTCCCAATCAGTTCCACATAAGAGAAATTGGTGAGTTGGTTTGTAAAAAAACCAAACATTTTTTGGTTCAAGTTGCACTAATCTAAAGCAGTGGTCCCCAACCTTTTTATTACCACGGACCGGTTGAGACTTGGAAATTTTGCTGCGGCCCGGGGCAGCGGGGACAGTCAGATAAGGCTTCTGCATGTTGGTGTTCCAGCTTAAGCCTGAATATACCCATTTTGGTTGTCTTGGTCTTTTTACCGCAGCCTGTGGGGTTTTACCTGACTGGGAACAAGAATACAACCTGCTGAATGTGGCAGGTAGCCAATCAGAAAGCGCAACTTAAGAACAGAGGGGAATCCCAAACAGCTGACATATGCAACTGAGAGTCTGGTGGATATTGGAGATGATGGAAATGTTTATTATTATATGTAAAGGTTGCTATTATACATGTTTATTCAGTTAAAAACGTTAACTATGAAAAATCATATCTCACCTCCAAATCATAGTGCAGCAAATAGAGCGGCTGCTCCTGTCGTCTCTTATCCACCGCCTTTTATTTTTGTTATGTCTTTTATCTCTTAAAATGAGTCCACAAACTGTCACTATAGCCTCTACATCATCATCTGTGTTTGGTCATTCTAAATTCCTGTATGCTATGTTGGGGGTTTTACTGGATTATCCTCTGGAATCGGGATGTTCGTGTGTGGTGTGCTGCTCCTGCCTTGTGGCTGGACACGAACTGATTGAACCTGTTGTACTTTTATCAGCTCTGTGGTCACAGAGGTTTGGAGAATCGGCCGACAATCCTTAAATCTTGCCGTCTAAACCAGACTTAAGACTCACAAGCTCTACTCATCTCCTCTCGACCACTGCCCAAACGCGCTCTGACTCTGGTCGCTATGGTAACGTTAACATATCCCTTCAAAATAAGATACAGATGCGCCACAAAAACGAGCATTTTACTTTCGTGAAAATTTTAACTCACGATAACGACTAACGGGAGCCCTGAGCTTGTTTCTCTGCAACGAGACGGTCCCATAAGGGAGTGATGGGAGACAACGACACCCGAAGTGTTGCTTATATCCACAGCCTGCTTGGTCTCTACGTGGCGAAGCAGTTTGAAGCTTCATTGCCTCATTAGCAGCCGGTTGCCGAATGTTACTCAGAGTGGCTTGTAATGTGGGACTCACCTGCCGGTCCGGGATAAATCCATTATCCTGTCTCTTCTCTGGGCCTTTTCCCCTTTGCAAAAAAAACTTTCCAAAGACATCTGATCCGTTTCTTACTCATTTTGCTGCTTGTGGCTCAGTGTTGGCGCGCAAGTAACCGAGAGAATCCGGTTAAATGATTTTCAAAATAAAATTGGTCCACAGACCGGCGGTTGGGGACCACTGATCTAAAGAATGGTTCGGTTCAGGAATGTGTAAACTGCAGCACAGGCAAAACAAAGTTCAACAACCAAAACGACCAACTTTCTCGTTAGTTCATATCAGATAGCGGTTTTGGACAATCTTATAATCCCTTTATTTTCAGTTGAACTCAAAATGTCTGCCCCTATAAAATCTGTTTCCTTTGTTCTGATTCCCGCCAACAGGAAGTCATCATTGGCAGAGTCAGATCCGCTTCCTGTTACTGGGATGTTATCATTTATTCATCATTAACAAAAGATCTTCTGTTAGCACACAAAATGTTTACAAAATGTACAAACAAGATAGAAACTAATGGAAGAAACACATTCAAATGTCTGGATGAACTAGTTGACCCTAAAAACCTGCTGAGACCAAAAATTTAATTATTACAATAATAATAATAAAAAAAATCTTAAAAACTGGAAGTCAAGATTAAAATTTCTTTTAGCTGCACAACTTGGCAAACCTATTTCAAAACTCTTTGGCAAGAACCATCAGCAAAATATACACTTATGTTGTTTTTTTTATTCATCTTTTCAACAATATAAAAATCCAAATAGAAAAACAACTCAAAAAGTATCAAATTTCATGAGTCCTGGAGCTCACCTCACAATAAAATGTTAACTTCAAAGGATTTATGCCACAAAAAGGCGATTTATATTTATATCTATTTATATTCATATATATATATATATATATATATTTATATATAGCAGTGCTACAAAAGTCCAAGCCTTCATTTCCGCAGAAAGGCGCTGGTTCTGTACAGGACATTCAGGTTTTTATTACGACACACATTCATCGCTCCCCACGCCGTAACCACGGCGACTCCGGGGGAAACAGTGATGTGTGGGTACCGTGTGACGTCGGTATGGGCTGGCTTTCAGTCGTTTCTTTCAGTCGTTTTTTTTCCCCCTCGTCACATAAAGTCGTTTAGCTCAGCCTCCAGGGCGGCGGCCATCTCGTCCGCCTCCGAGCTGCTGCCCTCCTCTTCCTCATTGGAGTCCTTGGACGACTCGTCGGCGGAGTCCCGCCTTTTCTGCTTGCTCTCCATGTCCGCATCCTCCTCATCCTCTCCGGAGTCATGCTTCCGTTTCTGACCCCTGGACAAAAAAAATATAAAAAAAATAAAAACACAGAACTTGAAGATTGCTTTCCATGTTCTAAATCAGAAGAGTCTTAAGGTTTTGAGCTTGCTGATTGGAAAGCAAACTACAGTCCAGCAGGTTTTCTGTTTTTAGCTCCACCCATCTTCCTTCGTCCTCGTTTCCCCAAGAAGTGGACGGATAAGTCGAGTCTATTAAAGTATTTTCAATATATGTATATATTTTTTTTAAATTAAGGTTTATTGGCTCTAGTGGCCTTTATTTGATAGTTAATTGACAGGAAAGTAGGGAATCAGAGAAGGGGGAAGACATGAGGCAAAGATTGCCAGGCCGGGAATCGAACCTGCGACGGCTGCGTCGAGGACTAAGGCCTCCATATGTGGGTTGTGCTTAACCCCTGTGCCACCACGGCACACCTATTCAAGCATTTTCAAGGTACGTTTTTAAACTTTTCCATTGTCACACCTTAGCGATTAAAAACAATACAAATGAACTAAAGAGGAAGGTTCAATTCACAGTTTTATTTAATTTATTGCTGTTATTAATTGTATCTTTTGATAGTATTCTGCATTCGCCAGAACGGGTACACTAAAATATTATATAATGTCTATAACCGTTTCTCTAACACACCCTGAATGGTCCAGGAAAGTTAAAAAAACAAAAACTAAGGAACTTCATAAGTGTTGTCCTGCAGGCATCATTGTGACTGGTTTGTCGTATAAAATAACACCTTTTATATCGTGATTTATCGTGACGGAATGGCCAATTTCTGTTTATTCAAAAAATCTGAATAAACTATAAAATAAAATAAAATATTTCTCTGTTAATTCTATACTATAAAAAGTTAAACTGAGGTTTGACATCAAACTAATCCATGACATACTGAGAATAATTTCCATTTTGTTGTGTTTAAAATCAACCTGAAAGTCCAAATTCAAGGCAAAATGTTAATATTTAGATTTTTAGAAATAAACTATTTTCCAAATTCTCTCTTCAGTTTTCTCTTGTACTCATCAATAATCCACAAGAAAAAAAAAAGTCAAATGACAACTTCTGTTTTCATTAAACATAACTGGAGATAAAAAACTTTCGATAAAGTGTAAGTTGGCGAAACAGAGAATGAATCATGAGGTTAGCTTCAGGTTGAGTTGGCAGCCAGAGGGACACCTACACTGTAATGATTGGAGACAAATATTTGAACTTTTACATATTTTTGAGATATTATTAACTCCATGTTTGAGCAGAAATAGGCTAATAATTTGATAAAGTTCACACACAATTGGGAAGAGTTGCTCTTACGCTAACTACACTGATAAAACCAACAAAAAGGATTTAATGTCACTGCGAAACATTTAAAAGAAGTCGTGAGCGATGTAGCTAATTCTTGTTAAAAACTTTACAGACTTCAGGATGATTTCCTCTAAGAACTCGTCTTTGCTTTGAGTTTTTCCTGCTTTCTGAAGACAAGACATCCATCTGTTGGTATTAATAAATACAAAAAAAGCTTTCAGATAACCTGGAAAACTATTGATTGAGACCAAATTAACAGTTTACAATAAAATCTGACAGCTTAAGCTAGATAGATAGCTTCGCACAAAGGAAAATATTAAGTGCAGAGACTGGAGACTGGAGCTATAACCACAAAGTGGTAATTTATTAAATACAACCAATTTCTACAGCAGTGAGATGTGAGTTGTAGCTACAATCTCTGGGCATTCAGACACTGAAGGTCTGAAATAAAACTTCCACAAGCTTTAGAGACCCTGAAAACAAAACCATGTCTTCAAAATGCTTTTGTGAGCATGGATAAGACAATGTAGCAAAGCTGTCCAAAATAGGTACATTATTTAAAAACGTACATATGGTGAACATATTGTACAACAAAAGCAAGCAATGCCAGCTGTGTTTCTGCGAACCAGCCACTTATGGATAATGATGAAGCTGGAAGAGAGGAGGAAACAAAACCAAAAAAAAGGAAAACACATTTGTAGGTGGCTGGAAAATCCTTTGATGTTCTGTGAGCAAACATGCCATCTCTTGCTCCACTCCAGCTTTCTCTGTGACATCCTCTGCCAAGCAGCTTGTTAGCGTCATGCTAATGAGGGTCTGCGTGGTTATTGTGGAGGTCCGACACAGAGCCCACCCCCCAATCCCTCTTTCTCATTAGGCCTCGCTAACCTCCAGCGGCAGTGGCTAGGCTCTGGCTCTCCATTCGTTCAAGGTCAGATCCCGACTAATATGAGTGAAGAGGGCAGGTGACATGCTAGTTACAGGTTACTGTGGGAGGAAAAGCTCAGCCGAAGAGCTGCGCTGATCCTTCAAGCTAACGAGTTTTAGCTTGAAGGATCAGCAGAAATGAAAACTCGGCCTCAGAGTTTTCATTTCTGAAACCGAGCGACTGCTGTGAGTCTCGCTTCTAGTTTCACTGCGACTTCCAAACAAATTTTTGTTTTTTGCTACCTGAGCCGGTTGGAGAGGCTGCTTGAGTGTGCACGCACATAACTCCATTCTTCTTCTTCTGTTTGCAAATATTAATAGTGGAGACAGCAGGGGTCTAGGGGTTAGTCCCCCTCCTGCTGCTTTTAGCTTTGGATCATTACATCCAATCTCTGTCCTCTGCTATTAATCCAACCCCCCACCGATACACACACACACACACACTCCAGACGCTTCCCCCATGTTCATTCATGTCAACTGCTAACCAAGTTTCAGATGTAATCTACTTTTATGTGATATCTGCTCTCTGTCTCAGCTGTTAAACTACATTGTAATAAAGGTGGAATATTGCTGTTTACAAAAATATTCAAATTTTAGGCATTTTACAAATATGAGACTCCCAGAGTGAGCTGCAAGCAATGGGCTAATTTCACAATTTGCAGCATTAAATGTTTTTTTGTTGCCAGGTGAAAATAAATAATGTTGAGAGGAATCAGTCTTAAGCTTTTTTTTATGCATAGGTTTACACAAGACATTTAGTAAGAGGGAGTAATAAACCCATTTGTTTTGGTGAGACTTTTTTTTTTAATTAATAGTTATATTTTAGCAACAGGTTCCTGCTGCTAATTACACTTCATGACTTATAAATTGTCACTACAAAACACCCTCAAATTTTACAGTCATTACGATAACTTAAAAAAAGAAGCTCCAAGCCATAGTTATTTTTTCACATGGTTACCTTTAAACCAGAATGTGAGTTGCATATTACCAAACTAATATTCTAAAGAAGTTGGAACTAATTAAAAGTATCACTCTCTGTTCACCTCGCATTCAACAGAAAACACTTGGCCAAATTCTGGGAGTCAACATGAAGCGAAAGCTTACTGGATGCTGCAACTTCTTTTCTTGTTTGACTGAATTCTGCAACCATTTCAGCTTCTATGCATCTCAAATCTGGAACAAACTTCCAGAAAACTTGCAGATCAGTTTTTAGTCTCGAGTTCCGTTAGCAGGAAAACTTACTAAAGAGAAATCTTGTCTTAAACTATCTGTAACATATATTCTACAAAAAAACATCAACACTCAGAACAGAGTCTTTTCAGGCAATTCAGATGGAAAAGTCAAAAAGAGCCTGGTGTTAAATCAAGAGTTTTCAAGAGTGGAGGTTGATGAGCTGAACCAGAAAGACTCTGTCAGCCTGAGAGACGTAATGAAAGGAGTTGTGGATGGAGGTGTGCTTGCTGATAGAAAGGCAGCTCATTATTAGGTGTTAGATCTTGAAAAGTTAGCAAGAGTTCAGACGGCTTCATCTTTGGATGCGACCTCCTAAATTTCCTCATTACTGGATCCGTTTCCCGCTGACCAGTGGAGTGAAAGGCCGACAACTTCTTAAAACTCTTGTCAGCAATTAACTGAAGAAATCTGAGCACTTGGTGTATGTGTGTGTTTATAATAATCTCTGTAGAAATACATTTAACTGAAGGAGTTTTGTGATTCATACCACTTAATTTAATATGCCATTCAAAGCAGTTTTAAATGACGTTTGAGCTACATTCTGATTGAATAACTCCATTTTGATGATCTATGCATCAAAAATATGTTTTTGAATCTGAGAAATCCAAGTCTCTCTTCAAAAAATCAAAATGACTTAATATTATGATACAATGGTGATTACACTTAGTCGATATATAGGGTCGTGTTAAATTTGATTTAGTTTTATTAAAATGTAACAATTTTGAGTATATTCTGAACAATACCCTAAAAATCAATCAGCAAATGCAAAAGAGGAAAAGACAATGTAAAAAGAAAACAACCTCCCCGCCAACCCATACAAACATTAAATCACAAGACAGGAATGTAGCAAAAAGATAATTTGCCCAAGTAATCAAATGTAGAAACTACAAAATTTAAAAAGTAAAAGAAAAATGCTCATTTAAAGTCTGCTATTTGTTAACATTTTTCCCTTTTACCCAAATGTACTTCTACGGAAGTTAGAATCTCACCAAAATTTGTGGGGGTGAAATTAAGCCATAAATAATTACATTTAATTATTTATGGCTTAATTAGGTACAAAAAAAATATAACAAAAAATATAACAAACTAGTCGTTTACATTTTACTCAACACGAGAATTTAAAGCAGGAAGGGAAGCAAAGGATCAAGCTTTGAATCTATCAGTCTAAATCCAGTGTGAGGTTTAGAGAAAGGACGACGTCCTCGTAGTTGGTGATGGATCTACAGGACGAAGGGCAGGATGGGCCCACACATCTTTACAAAAGGAAGCCAACTGATGTGGAGGTGGATGTAAATGTGAAAAAAAAAGAAGAGCTCTGATTTTAATGCCATAATTTGGATCATAATTTGAAAGTGTGCAGAGAAATTGTCCAAGATAAAGACATTTTTTACAAACTTGACCTATGAATGGAACAAAAAAAGTTGTGCATTCTCTTCAGATATGTCAGACTTTACAGCTAGGAGGGTCAACAAGTAACTCGGTGCGGTGTGTTGCTCCTCAGACAGATGTTGAAGTCATTACTCGACAATATCATTATGTGTACATAT